TCCCCTTTCCCAAGCAATGGACCCAGCGTAGCTCTCCCAGGCACCAGGGATCCTTTGGTTCCCAGACCACCTACCGGAGGGATTCACAGAGACGGCAACCTCCACCACCCTCCTGGACACCGCCTCCTAGTCTGCTACCCTGTAGCTGGATCGCAGAAGTGCCCCACTAAGTGAGGATGTCTGGAGAGCCCAGGACGTGGCTCCTGCACAGAACCCGATGGTAACACCACTTAATGCTCTTTGAATGCCACATGCTGGGCATGTGTTGTTACAGTTGTGTGTTCGTGTGCTGTGAGACCGTATTTACATTGCGGTGCGTGTGTGGGGGTACATGTGCCAGGCGTGCATGCATACATTGGTGTTTGTGTGTGCTTGCGATTCATATTTGAGTATGTGTGTGTAAATGTGTGTATTTATGGCTGCGTGGTATGTGCTTGCAGGTGTGTGTTGTGTATTTGAGGCATATGTATTTACCCGTGCATCTATTTGTGTCTGTGGTGGTGAATATGCATATCAAGGAGGGCATTTGTGGGTTTGTACTTGTGGTGTGCACAAGTGGATGTGTAAAACTGTGAGGTCTGTAATCGTGCATGTGTAGGAGTGTGCTGAGGGTTTCGGGTGTGGGGGGGGCTCTCTTCCCCCCCCCATCTCCCCTCATCTGGGTGACCTTCCTCCAGCTGAGGACTGTGCCCAGGCTAGCTCTTGCCCCCTCTGCAGACCTGTGGCTGCTCTGGTCATTGGCTTGCCCCATCTTGGGGCCTTTGGGCAGCAGGAGCAAGGGCGGATGGGTGAACTTGGGTCCAGGGCTCACATGCCACCCCCTCCCCTTCTGGCCTCCTCCCCTCCCCACAGCAGGAGCAGCAGCGGGAAAGGTTGGCGGAGGGGGGCTATTTTGGGAGCGTCTCCTTAGCAACAGCTGCCACGGCCGTCTGTGGCGGTTTTTCTATAGGTGCTAAAATATTCCACCCTGGTGACTACTGAGTGCTGGGGGGTGGGCGAGGGTGGGAGTGGAGGGCGGGAGAGACCCCTGCAATCCTCCATTCCCAGGGCATAGCCTGCTGGGATGGGTCTTGGTCCTCTGGGCTCCCATTACCCCTTTCCCCACCATCCATCCTCACCCCTCAGGGCTGCTGGGACTTCAGAGTTCTGAGGCTGGCCAGCTGTGTCCTGGTCTGATTCCTAATCTAAGCAGCTGGGCTGCCTCTGTTTGCCCCATCTGTAGAATGGGCTGGCCAGACTTTCAGGAACTCTCTAAGTCCCAAACCCCTGGACTCTGTGACTCTGGCATCTGGAAGTGGCCCCTGGTGGCCCACCTCCCCCACTCCTCTCCCAGCTCGGCCCAGGCCCTCCCACCTGCAGTCCTCCGGGCCTTCTGTGCCTGCTCTCAAGGCCTCTATGGGACCAGGGAGGCCTGACTGGTCTCCTCGAGTGAGCCAGTTCACGAGTGCTCTGCTGGCCTCAAACGACCTCTCTCTAGAAACTAGGAATGGATTCCAAATGTGGCTGAGACATTTGCTTACTCCCCGAGTGACCATGGGCAAGGCATTTCCTCTCTCTGTGTCTCAGGTTGGTTTCCTCACCTGTGAATGAGGGATAGTCCTAGAGGCTCCCTCATGAAGATGCTGGGAGGATCAGCTCTGAGAATGGAAAATGGGCCAAGAAGCTTTGGCAAAATGTTCAGTTGGATGAACGTTTTACTGTCACTACCCATCAAACTTCAGAGCAAGTCTTGCCCTTCCACAGAGTTGTCCCTGGCCATGTACCAACATGGCCCATGCCTCAGTTTCCCCATGGGTAACAAGCGCCTGCATCATAGAGTTCTGGTAAGGATTAAATGAGACAATGCCTGTGCAAGCCTAGAATAGTGCTGGGCTAATGGTATCACCCCCAGGGGCGCCTGCTCCCTTCACTCTTTCCAGGGGGCGCTTTGGTGTTGAACGCCACAAAGCCTGCTTGCCTTTTGGGGACCCAGTCCAGACTGTCCCGTTACAGATGAGGCTCCTGAGGTCCAGAGAGGATAAGCAACTTGCCCAGGGTCGCCCAGGTTCTGACAGCCAAACCTCTACCCGCTGCCCCTGTGAGCCCCTGCACACCTGTCTCACATCCCTCCTTGCCTCCACCTCCCCACCCCTGCCCTTCTCAAACATGGGCTGGACAATAGGGAATTCCGCCTCTAAGCTCCCATCATCTCAACCGTGGGGCTATTATCCTATGACACAATAGGCTGTCATACAGATGAGGACACTGAGGCATGGAGACAAGTGAGCTGTCCAGAGTCACATCAGGCTTAGGGCAGGGGTGGGGGGAGGTGAAGGGACTCTTTTTCCTGGGGTCCCTGAACCTCTCTCTGGCCAGAGCTGCCCTTTCTGCCTCTTCCCACCTCCTCCCAGTCACTCCTAGCCTCCACCAAACCCTCCTTGCAGGAGGGTCCCAGGCTATAGCCCCAGGACGAGGGGACCATTACCAAATGTTTCCTCTCAGGCCTATGATGTCACAGCCACCAGGCTTCCCCCTTCCATCTTCCAGAAGTCCCTGTCCCTGAGCTCCTACCTTTCCCTTGAACTTGTGCCCAGTGACCCAGCATCAGGACTGACCCCACAGGAGCAGAGGCTCTAGATCTACAGACCCCTCAGTCTCCATTCCCCACCCCCTTTGCCCCTGCCTCCTTGCCCTGCACCCCACATTTCCAGGGCAGCCAGCAGGCAGACCTCTGGCTAGGTGAAGAGACCATGGGTCATTTGCTCCTCCTGCACCCTCCCAATTTCCACGGAAAGTTGTGACAGTGACCAGGCGCTTACCTGCCATGGACCCGAGGATTCAGATTGCCTAAATTCATGCGCATCAAAGATTCATGTGAAGGAACACAGTCCTGGCTGCCTGCCTGTGAGGACACCGCAGAGTTAATGAGGGAGACGGGCACGGAATGGGTCATCTGCTATGGGGCTCCCCGCGCGCGGTTGAAGGGAAAACTGAGAAAGGATGGTCACATTATTGACTGCCTACTGTGGGCTGTGCATTTCTTGTGCATCTATCTCTCCTAATCCGTCCCTGTGATGGGGAGGGACTGTTAGGGACCCTATTTTGCAAACAGGTTGGGTAAGAACTTGGGAGTATGAGGGCCAGATGAATGAATGAGTGGGTAATGAATGACTTCTGCTGAGGGCATCAGGAGGCCGCCCCAGGGGCTGGGAGAGCACTAGGAATTCTCTGGGCAGAGGAGGAGGAAGGGCACTTCAGGCAGGAAGAACAGCACCGGCAAAGGCAGAGAGGTGCGGAAGCATCTGGTATGTTCTGGAATCTGTGGGAATCAGGGTGGATGTGTGGGTATATAGGGTGCTGGATGAGGTGGGGCCTGACTGTACATCATGCTGAGGAGTTGGGACTGGATCCCAACTGGAGGTGGGGAGGATCCACCGGGAAGGGAGACAGTCATGGTGGTTAATGCACTGGACACATGCTCGGGGACCCGCTGGGAGAAAAAGCTGGAGGTTTCATCCTCAAAAAATTCTCAATCCGGCTTTGGGGTGCCTTAGTCTCTCCTGAGACTAGCCACAGATGGGCAGGATACCAGGGAAGTTCTTCTGGCTGTCTAGCTATAGGTGTTTTCTCATCCTCCATCCTAGTGAAGGAGCACTTTCCCTCCTCAGAGTCGGGGTGAGGTGGCAGGGTGGCCAGGGAGGCGGCTCGCTGTCCTTGGGGGGGCTCTGAGGTGGTGAAGTCAGCTCCCCACAGCCCAGAGCGCGCAGCCCAGACCTGGAGCTCACTCAGACCGGGATCCTCCCCTGTAAAGACAGTCTGGAGTAATGCGGCTGCAGAGAGTAAGAGTCTGGGGTTTGGTCCAGCTCCGCCACCTCCGGGTGACCTTGGACAAGCTCACGACCCTCTCTGGCACTCAGTCTCTCAGTCTGTAAAATGAGGCGGTGCTGTCTAGGTGACTGTGAGGGTCCCCTGCAGCCATGCACGCCAGCCCCCGGCTCCCGGAGCACAGTACGTGGGGTCATTAAGTGCCGGTACTTCAGGAGGGGAAGGGGACCGCGGAGCAAAGCGGCCCGGAGCCTCCGAACCCAGGACAGACCCTCTCCCACGCACCCCCTTCCCGGCCCGGAGGAACCCTACCGACCTGCCCCCGGGGGTTGTAAAACCCGGGAGCGGATCCTCGGAATGGGTTCTGGGAGGAGCGCTCCCGGAGGGAGGAGGAAAACCCGGGCAGGATCCGGGGCAGGAGCGGGGCCCCACGGCCCCTCGGCCCCCAGCCCTGCCCCGCGCGGCCGGCGGACCCAGGGGCTTTGAAGCGCCGCTGCGCCGCGGGGAAGGAGCCGGGCCGGGCCCCGCGGGCCGCCCGGGGCCGGGGGCTCGGGGGCCGGGGGGGGGGCGCGCGGCCTCCGCACTGGGGCGCGGGTCACGTGTGAGGAGGGGCGAAAGTCTCGCAAAGCGGGCGGCGTGCCGCGAGTTGGGAGTTCTCGGCGCGCCGCGGGCGGCGGGAGCTCGGGCTCCCGGGCGAGCCGGGGACGCGGCGGAGGCGCGGGCCTGGGTCCGAGACAGCGGGGGCCGCACCGAGAGTGGGAGGGAGGGAGAGACACGGAGAAGGACAGACGGCGCCCGGGAGGAGGACAGAGAGAGACGCGCAGGGGAGACCGAGACAGGGCAGAGGCGGAGGGAGGCAGGGGAGGTTCTGGGAGGGCGGCGGGCCGCAGACCGAGCCCCCGCCGGGAGACACGGGAGGCGGGCTCGGGGACCGAGGGGCGGCCGGACAGACGCACGGAGACCCAGGGGGCAGCCCGGCGGGCGGCGGCGGGTCCCGGGCCGGCCGGCCGAGGGCTTCCCGGGGCCGGGGCGGGGAGCGGGGAGCGGAGCGCGGGGCGCGGGGAGCGGGGAGCGGGGAGCGGAGCGCGGGGAGCGGGGAGCGGAGCGCGGGGCGGGGGACGGCGCGGAGAGACAGCGCGACGGCAGCGGGGGGGCGGCGGAGGGCCGGCGGCTGCGGCGGGGGCGGGGGCGGGGGGCGCGAGCGCGGGCGGCCGAGGCCATGGGCCCCCGGATCCCCGCGCCCTGAGCCGGGCCCGGCCCGACGATGCTGACGCCCAGGCGGCGCCGGGGGCGCGGCGCGGGGCAGCGCTGAAAGTTGAGCGGCCCGCGGGGAGCGGCGCGGGACGGCCCCGAGGCGCGGAGACCCGGACACCGACGGACAGACCCACCGGCAGCCGGGGAGGGGGGCGGGGCCGGCCCGCCGAGTGCGCGGGGAGGGGGCGCCGGGACTCCCCTCTCCCCGCCCGGGACGCCGCCCGCCCGCCCGCGCCGTGGGATGTAGAGCCCGCTCGCCGCCGTCTGGACCTTCGTCGGACCCTCCGCCCCGCGGTAAGCCGGGCGCACGCCCACCGCCGGCGCTGTCCGTCTGTCTGTCCAGCCACGTGCGTGCGTGTCTGTCTGTCCCGTCCGGGGTGGGGGGGGCCGTGGGCCCCGCGCACCCAGCACCTTATCCCTGCGGGTCTCGGCTGCGGGGCCCGCGTTCAGCGCGGTCCAGTGACTCCCAGGGAGCTGGCAAGCGCTGTCGCTCTGTCCGTCGGTCCTTCGGGAGCGTGAAGGTCTGGGTTGTGGCCAGAAAGGCGGAGAGGGGTGGGTGGAAGAGGCCTTGACCTCCTGTCCCGGCCTCGACCTTTCCCTGCCTCCACCCACCCCCAGTTGTCAGCCTGTTCTGAGGAGCTTCAAGGCAGGTGACTCCTGGCAAACGTGTGTGTGTGTGTGTGTGTGTGTGTGTGTGTGTGTAGGGGTCCCCTTTCCACTTCCCCAGCTGCAACCTGTTTGCAAATAGCCCTCTGATCTCACGGAAAATAACATCCCACTTCTCATGTTTGAGCACCTACTTTGGGCCAGGTGACCCCCAAGGAGGGTGGACAGGGATCCAGCAAAGAAGGTATTTCATATTCATAGTGGAGAGAGGCACAGACTGCTCTTCTCTCCCTACAGGAGAACCCCAAGGGAAGAGAGGTCTGAATGAGCCCCTGAGCAGGGAAACTTCTCTGGCTCTCCAACCAGCGTCAACATCACACTTCTGCCTCCAGCCGAGGCTCTAAGATGGGGAGAGAATGCAGGGAGATGGTAGGTGGGAGTGTGGTGGAGAGGCAGGGCAGCCTGGCTAAGTTGGCAAGCCAGGGCCTCAAGACCAGCAGGATGCTGAGCAGCAGGTTGAGGGAATGGAGGAGCTGAGGAATGGAGGTCCCAGGGCCACGCATGTGAGACCCAGGGAGGAGCCAGACCAGTGTGCATGTGTGTGTGTGTGTGTGTGTGTGTGTATGTGTGTGTGTGAAATGGTGAAATGCCTGTTCTGCTTCTCCCCACATCCAGTCCTGTGACTTCCAGGGCTTCCGGAGTTTGGGGAGCTATTGTCAGGACTTTTTGGGCCCTGAGAGCCACGATGTGGCCCTGCCTTGGCCTGGGTGGAGAGGAACAAAAGACAGAGGAGAGCAGTGGGATAAGGTCTGGGTTGCAACATGGCAGGAGCAAAGGCTGTTGGCCATTGAGCTGACCCGTATCCAAATTGGAGCCGGGAGGGCTGAGCCTAGAACATTCGACTGTTCTCCACAGGGAGGAGGGCTCTTTCTGGGGCTTTCCACACTGGGAAGTGGGCTTCGCATACCCTATATTCAGGCTCCTGGAAATCAACTCACTGGCTGAGGGGCCAGCATCCAGAGCAAGTTACCCTCCTCCATGACCCTCAACTTCCGTATCTGTGGAATGAGGACACAGCTCTCTGCCCCACTGACCTCCAAGGGCTCAAATGAGCTGGGGGCTGTTCACAGGCTGGGGACGGTGCTGGGCAGATGGCAGTAAGGACTCATTTTACCTTTGGGAAGGTGCACAGCTAATGGGGAGAGAGGATGTGGCCTCAAATAGAGGATTGACCAAGGAGGGGTCCAGGAATTAGAGGGGGATCTGGGGTTTGGGAGCAATTCCTCGGGAACCTTTGGTTACCCTTGAAAAGGAAGCTCCTCTCCCAGAAAAAAGCCTCTGGAGTGAGTGGGAACAGTCAGAGCTGGCCTTGAGTATCTGCTGGGTGACCTTGGGCTGCTGGCTTGACCTCTCTGGACCTCAGTGTCTTTGACTGGAGAATGGGGATGTCGGTACTGACTTCACTGGGTTGCCAAGTGATTTACAGACTATGTCACGTCTCTGAAAGCAGCTTGCAAAAGCCTGGAGCGTAGTAGGTTCTTAGACATTTGCAGAACACAGAATGAAGTGGCTCTAGGAGATGCTGTGGAAAGATTTCTTAGCTTAGGATAAGAGGGAAGGGGAGGAGGAACAGTGTAGGCTTATAGGGCGGGTTGGTTCTTAATGTGGATCTGGGGGAGGCGGGGGCGAGTGCTGAGGGGGGTGTGAGGAGGAGGGGGCCCCTCTGCGGGGACCACTGAGTCACGAGGACATGTAAGCAACATGACAACCAGCAACATGGTAACCAAGAGACTAGTGGCGGTGGGAAACGGAGCTGGAGCGGTGTGTTGGGGGGGCAGGACTGGCAGTCCTGGGGCTGGAGGGTCCGGGAAAGAGCCAGGCTGGACTCTCAGAGTGAGAAGGAGACCCCGAGGCCAGGTGGGCTGGGGCGGAGGGGTCCAGGTTGGAAGGAAAGGAGGTGACTCTGGGGTCTGCCGGGCAGGGGGGCTTCTCCCGCACCTCCCCAGGCTCCTCGCTCCTCTCCTCCACATCTCCACTTTTCATGCCTCTCCCCCTAGGATGCCAAATTTGGCTCACGCAATCTGTCGTCTCTCTTCTGAGATTGGCACCGGGACCAAAGCCGAGTGCATTACATGCATTACATCACCGCCGCTCCCCCTGCACGAGGAGAGGGAGGGACAGAGGGCCGGGGGGCAAGCGGCCAACCCTCAACTTTCATTCCCGTCTTCCTGCTCACTCTTGCCGCCTCAGTCCCAGGTGTTGGGGGCTTCCTGGGGGCTTCCGGGGAGCAGCCGAGCTGGGCCTGGAGGCAGGACGGGGGGGCCAATCTTGGAGTGATCCCAGGGCCAGGGCAGGAGGTCAGATCATGTCGCTGTCCCCCTGGCTAGGTGGTACCTGGGAGGTGGGGAGCCTCGGTTCAGTACAATTTGTCATTGCCTTGCTGGGTGACCTTGGGCAGATCCCCCCATCCCCTGCCCTGTGCAGTGTCTACATCTGTGTGGAGAACAGTTGGCCACTCAAGATCTTGGTGAGTCTCCTGGAAAAAGATGCCCTTGAGCCCTGCTGCTTTCCTGGGCACAGACTGAGGAGTCCGGATTTTGAGTGGCTCTCTGTGACTTTCAGCAAGTGCCTCTACCTCTTTGTGCCTCCATTTCCTCACCTGTCCAGTGGGAACGATAGAACCCTCAAAGGCACAGCATGTGACAGAGATAGTAGACGTAAAAGCTGAGAGACAGGGGAAGAGCCAGGGTCTCTGGCCCTGAAACCACAGACCCCCCGGGGGGCCCAGAGGCTCCTTGCATGCTGGGCGGCGGGGGCGGGGGGTGAGGGGGCAGTGGAACAGTGTCTCAGTACAGACAGGAAGGTCGGAGCTTAAGTCATGGTCTGATGTCCTCGTTTTACAATAGTGGAAACCGAGGCCCAGAGGGAGAAGTGGACTCCCACCTCAAGGTCACAGTGGTGGTTTGGCGGTAGATGAAGTAGAGCTGGGGCCTGAACCCAGGGCCCTGGTTCCCAGCCCTGTGTGGAAGTGAGTAGGCAGGCAGGCACATGCACACCCTGTGCACCCAGGAGTATGGAAGGCCCGGGTTCTCGCTTTGGCCTCCTCTCTTCTCCCTTCCTGCTCCCCGGTTCCCTTCAGCTCCACCATCCCTGAGCGTTAATCTCATCTTTCATTTGGTCTACACTGAAGAGCTCCCTTTCAGGCTCATTTTGAAGCAAGTTTTAAGCAGTCCCAGGCAGGGAGAGGCTAGATTTGGGGTTAAGCTAGAAGATGATGGCCCCTTCTAGAAGATTCCCAGAGCTAGAGGTGGAGAAAGATGGGGAGCCTCTGTGGATGTTTTGTGAAATAGTGAGCTTCTCATTCCCAGAGCTATTTAAGCAGAAACAGATGAGTACCTGCCAAGAATCCTGTCCCCATGAGTCCTGCCTTATGGGTGAGGGAGAATGACATCCCCACATCCCAAATCCCAGGAGCCTTTCATATCTCAGGAGACACTGGGGAGCAGCACCCAGCTTCCCAGCAAAGAAACTTACATTATTAGGCCAGGAATTGGGCTAGGAGTTTTTGCAAATGGCTTTCTCTTGTAATCCTCCTCACAACCCTGCAATGTCGATGTGGTGTCCCTGTGTTACAGATGGGGGAGCCACGGCTCAGAGAGTCTATGTGATTTGCCCAAGGTCACGCAGCAGGAAACTGGATGAGTCTGGATTGGAGTCCGGGCCAGTCTGATTCTCGGGGGCAGTCCCTGGGACTTCCTTGAGAAAAGAATGGAAAAAGTCCCTCCCCTGGGCTGGGGTTTGGCAGGAGATGATGTGTCGCCCCCACAGCATGACACCCCCTCAAGGATCCTCTGGGGGCTCCATTCTGAAGACATGGGTATAGACGTGCACCCAAGGAAGAACTGCCTTTACAAATGGGAAGACTAAGGCACAGAAACAGAGAATGTCCTGCTCAAAGGTGCCCAGCGAGTCAGATTTGGGTCAGGGGCCTTGTTCCCTGCACTGGTGGGTCAGGAGGGTCCTTTGGGCCCACGATTGTGTGAGGTCTGGGATTGGAAGTGCCAACCGCTCCAGGGTTTGGCAGAGCTGAGAGAGTGCTGGCTCAAGGCTAGGGCTGTGGGTCGGGGTAGGGGAGTTGGCCTCGGGAATGTGAAGGGAGCAGGAAGAGACACCAGCAGGGGCGGCAGGTCCACTTCTGTCCTCCCTGGTCCTGCCCCAGGGCCACCCATGGATATCAGTGCCATACACCCTGTGAGGTCCTGGGATCCTGTGGGTGGGACCTGCCTGGCAAGAGAGGAGGAGCTTGGCGCCAGCAGCCTTGGGTGTGGCTCCCAGTGCGACCTTAGGTCAGCTCCCCACCCTCTCTGAGCTTGATGTGCTGGTCTGTGTGACCAATGATCTATTTCCACAGCGTTACTGCCGCTGGGCTGCCGTCTCAAAGTGCTTCTCCCGTGCCCACGAGGACCCTGGGCCCTGGGCATGAGGCAGGCAGGAATCTTGGAGGTTGGCATAACCTTTAAGCCTCCTGGGCGACTCAGCCTTCCTCGGGGTGTGGGGGGAATCTCCGGGCACAGCCCTTCTTCTCCTTTTCATCTTTATTTTTCTCCTGCTCCCTCTTCCCCTCGCTACGTGGGCTGATCGCTGCTCAAACTTTTAATTCAGATGGTAATTGAAATAATAATACGGGC